TTTACTGCATATAGGTTGCGTGTTTCGAATTTAAACAATTTTTTCGCCCGAACTCGATGTCCCTGTCGATACGGGTTCCCGGTTTCTTTGATTAAAACACGCTTTTTGTTCTTCGTAAAGTTTTGAGTGTTTTACAAGGGCGGCTTACCTCAGCCATGGTAATCTGGCTTGCTGTTGATTTAACGGTATTTATGCTAAAATTAATGGTTCAAGTTTTAAAAGTGAGGGTGGCGTTAAATAAATGTTTCCGAAAACTTCTCTAAAGGATATAATTTAATTTCGAGATAAAATATTTGTTTTTGGATAAATTCGTAAAACCCGCGCAGCTGCGCTTCCATGGTCTTCAATTAATTGTTGCTTTGTTGGTACCTTTTTCAAAAACGTTGTGTACTCACCGGCTTCCTGGGTCGTGATGTGGACGACGAAACAAAAAGAGTATAAATAAACGAGTTTTATTTTGCATACAGAAAAGTAATTAAAATTTTCAATAGTCAAACATACAGGTCCTAATAGTAGGGGTGATTGTTCCGGAAAGTCCGTCATAAACAAAATACAAGTATAAACAATAAAATATTAAATCGTAACACATGAGTAATAAATGTATCATTTAAAGCTATCCTCTGAATAGTAACAAATTTTTAACACTTCAGTCTTTGGATATGATGTGATGTGGCGTTCTCGGGCACTCCTCAAGTTCAACAACTAAACGAAATCAATGGAAACTATTTAGGCCGCTCGGCAACGTTTCGTTGATTTGCACGGTTTTGTTCGATCACTTTAGAATTTTGATATACGTATTTGATTACGGCAGTAGGGGCACACGCAATCGAACGGAATTAACACAATCACGCTTTTTTCGCCGTAACTACGCAATCAATCTAGTTTTGGGAGGGAGTCGCAATTAGGGTGGCAAAAAACGACGTTAAAATTGCACAAAATCGGTATTTGTGTTGTAATCCAATTATGGGCAAAGGGCTGATGGAATATTCGATAAGCGTGTTTGGGCCGATAACCTTTTAGTTGCTTTGATCGAACGAGCTTGACAGAGAACGGAAAAAGTTGGCCAAAATATTACCACTTGGGAGTTTATAAACTAAAAAAAAAAAATGCATACATAATTTCTTTTGAAATTTGATTTGATGTCCGAGTCTACTGTAGCTCTACCGAGGTAGTTTTCCCAAAAAAAGAGCTAAATAATTTTGTTTATGAACAGTGGTACCAATAGTAAAAAACCATTACACGATAAATAGCGAGTATGATATTGCGAGTGACGTCACTCAGAGGGTAAACACGGGCACTTCGCCTGTATTTCGTAATGTCTTTCACGTATTTTTTAGAAATTTATTAAGTGCACTTTATTTTTTAATATTTTTAATGAAATTATAACTATGCCGCTTTTGGGTAAAAAAGACACTTGGGGCCCTCGCCTCCTTTAAAAAAGTACAGTTGAGACCCCCGAGAAGGTTTCACATTCTTAAAAAAGATATTTGGGGCCCCCGAGGTTTTACATAAAAAAAAAATTTGGCGCCCCGAAAAGATTTTGCATTTTAAAAAGACAGTTGGAACCCCCGAGAAGGTTTTGCATTAAAAAAAAAAACATTCGATCCCCCGAGAAGGTTTTATATTTTTAAAAAAGACAGTTGGGGCTATAGAGAAGTTTTCACCTTAAAAAAATGACATTTGGGGCCCCCTAGAACGTTCTACATTTCAAAAAAGAGACAATTGGGTCCCCCGAGAAGGTTTTACATTTTTAAAAAACAGAGTTGGTATCCCCGAGAAGGTTTTACATTTCAAAAAAGAGACAATTGGGACCCCCGAGAAGGTTTTGCATTTAAAAAAAGACATTTGGTGCCCCAGAGAAGGTTTTATATTTTTAAAAAAGACAGTTGGGGCTCCAGAGAAGTTTTCACCTTAAAAAAATGACATTTGGGGCCCCCTAGAACGTTCTACATTTCAAAAAAGAGACAATTGGGTCCCCCGAGAAGGTTTTACATTTCAAAAAAGAGACAATTGGGACCCCCGAGAAGGTTTTGCATTTAAAAAAAGACATTTGGTGCCCCAGAGAAGGTTTTATATTTTTAAAAAAGACTGTTGGGCCTCCAAAGAAGGTTTCAAATTAAAAAAAATGACATTTGGGGCCCACAAGAAGGTTTTACATTTCAAAAAAGAGACAATTTGGACCCCCGAGAAGGTTTTACATTAAAAAAATGACATTTGGGGCCCCCGAGAAGGTTCTACATTTCAAAAAAGAGACAATGGGGACTTCCGAGAAGGTTTTACATTAAAAAAATGACATTTGAGGCCCCCGAGAAGGTTTTACATTTCAAAAAAGAGACAATGGGGACTTCCGAGGTTTTGCATTAAAAAAAAAAGACATTAGACGGCCCCGAGGTTTCATATTTTTAAAAAGACTGTTGGGGCTCCAAAGAAGGTTTCACATTAAAAAAATTACATTAGGCGGCCCCGAGAAGGTTTTATATTTTTAAAAAGACTGTTGGGGCTCCAGAGAAGGTTTCACATTAAAAAAATTACATTTGGGGCCCCCGAGAAGGTTTTACATTAAAAAAAAAGACAATTGAGACCCCCGAGAAGGTTTTGCATAAAAAAAAGACATTTGGCGCCCCCGAGAAGGTTGCATATTTTAAAAAGACTGTTGGGGGTTCAAAGGTTTCACATTAAAAAAAATGACATTTGGGACCCCCGAGAAGGTTTTACATTTTAAAAAAAGACAGTTGGTATCTCCGAGAAGGTTTTATATAAAAAAAAAAAACACATTTGGCGCAGCCTAGAAAGTTTTACAATTTTAAAAAAGACCGTTGGAACCCCCGGGAAGCTTTCACAGTATTAAAAAAATACATTTGGGCCCTCCGAAAAGGTTTTACATTTTCAAAAAAGACAATTAGGACCCCTGAAAAGGTTTCACATTCTTAAAAAAAGACATATGCCGCCCCTGAGAAGGTTTTACATTTTTAAGAAACACAATTGAGACCCCTGAGAAGGTTTCACATTCTTAAAAAGATATTTGGCGCCCTCGAAAAGGTTTTACATTTTAAAAAAAGACAGTTGGAACCCCCGAGAAGGTTTTGCATTAAAAAAAAACATTCGGTCCCCCGAGAAGGTTTTATATTTTTAAAAAAGACAGAGAAGTTTTCACATTAAAAAAATGACATTTGGGGCCCCCTAGAAGGTTTTACATTTCAAAAAAGAGACAATTGGGACCCCCGAGAAGGTTTTGCATTTAAAAAAAGACATTTGGTGCCCCAGAGAAGGTTTTATATTTTTAAAAAAGACTATTGGGGCTCCAAAGAAGGTTTCAAATTAAAAAAAATGACATTTGGGGCCCACAAGAAGGTTTTAGATTTCAAAAAAGAGACAATTTGGACCCCCGAGAAGGTTTTACATTAAAAAAATGACATTTGGGGCCCCCGAGAAGGTTCTACATTTCAAAAAAGAGACAATGGGGACTTCCGAGAAGGTTTTGCATTAAAAAAAAGACATTAGACGGCCCCGAGAAGGTTTTATATTTTTAAAAAGACTTTTGGGGCTCCAGAGAAGGTTTCACATTAAAAAAATGACATTAGGCGGCCCCGGGAAGGTTTTATATTTTTAAATAGACTGTTGGGGTCCAGAGAAGGTTTCACATTAAAAAATTACATTTGGGGCCCCCGAGAAGGTTTTACATTTTCAAAAAAGACAATTGGGACCCCTGAAAAGGTTTCACATTTTTAAAAAAGACATATGGCGCCCCTGAGAAGGTTTTACGTTTTTAAGAAACACAATTGGGACCCCTGAGAAGGTTTCATATTCTTAAAAAGATATTTGGCGCCCCCGAGGAGGTTTTACATTTTTAAATAAAGAGGGACGTATTCTCACCTTTTTGAAAAAGTGGGGTACTTTCATCAATAAAAAATTTGTAATGGAGATATACACATAGATAATGCACAATGCGAGAAAAAAAGAAAAAAAAACGAAAGGCCGAGTTTGAAATCGAACGCGCGACGTTCGGTTCGCACTCCTGACTCTTAACTACTACACCACGACCGGGATGTTAATGGTAAGCCGTTATTACACCGTGCAAAAATTTGGACGGTTAGGGAAAAACTCAAAACGGATTCGTACACCACAGTTTTAGGACTATATTGTTGCATAATAATTAAATCAAATAAACATAGAATTCTTTGAAATGACATCATCAAATTGGTGGTGGGGATGATTAGCACAATTTTCGTTAGCATTTAACCATCAACATGATATTTCTAATATACATACAAAATTTGACAATAATAGGTCCAGCAGTTTCGAAGTTTTTAGGTGTCTAATTAAAATGGATACGGACAGACAGACAGACCGGCATACGAAAACGGGAGACTACTTTTTTCGTACTTTTGGAGTCATGAAACGTCGAGAAAATGAAGGTTCTATGTCACAAGAAGTTAACGTTGAAGAATACGATTCTCCAGATAGCCCAATGATCAACATAGGAGAGATTTTGTTAAACGGTAAATAAATGTCATCCTTCTTTGACTAGGGAAAGAAATGACAACCAACAAAATGCTGCTGATTACTTAAAATTTTGTCATTTAAATAATCCAAAATATGACGCATTAGAACATTTAACAGGGTACATTTGTCATAAAATGGGGGTTACGCAGACTAGTACTTGCCAAAATAAGACTGATTTTGGCAGATGACCTACTCTTCTAAGAAAACAAAGGGCGAGTGGGTGGGGCTAGCATTTGCCAAATAACCTACCCTCTAAGAAATAAAAGGGGGGCGGGCCGGGCTAGTATTGGCCAAAATAAGACTCATTTTGGCCAAGAAAATAAAGAATAGGTCATCTGCCAATATCAGTCTTATCTTCGCAAGTATAAGACTAATTTTTGCAAATGATATATCCTATAAGAAAACAAGGGTGGGTGGGCGGGGCTAGTACTTGTTAAAATAACACTGATTTTGGCAGATGACCCACTCTTCAAAGAAAATAAAGGGTGGGTGGGCGGGGCTGGTACCTTTTCTTATAAGAGTAGGTCACCTGCCTTTTATTTTTTTAAGGCCGTTTTACACCATCAATAATTATAGCCAGAATTGTGGCTGTAAATTTGTAGACAAAATTGTGTTATTTACTTGGACACACTAATTAACTATCAGAAGGTGGACTCATATAGCCTCCTGAAGAACTTGTTACAAAAATGGCTGAGTTGGAAGTAATTTTTAATAGATTTAATGAAGACGACATCAAAATTACAAAAAACTGTTTAAAATCTGTTATATCATTTTAACAATTCCTCTGTGTGACGTCACCGCGCGACCTGTCCCACTTTGATCCGCCCGAGCATCCCACCTTGCGAATTATTGAATCGTGGTAAAAAACGGCCCCGTAAAGCCCCAGTTGCCATATTTTCCCGCCCTAACCTAATTGATATATTTTTGTTTCGTCTCAGCCCCGAAACGTATCCCAACATTATATGCTTTTCCCATATATCAGAATATTCCGCCTTTCGACGCCCCGAAAAACTGCAATAAATATCCCCATCGATAAAAATCACAAAGGTCGGAAGCGAGACGTATAAATTCTCCTTTATTTCGGACACGGTCCCCGCCGACAGATAAGCATAAGGAAAAAGATCCGCCGACCCCAAAACATTGCCACCCTAAACTCCCCGTCAAAGCCAGCGCGATTCCGTCGCGTGCATGAATCAAGTCAGTGCAAATGGGGTTGCGAGCTGCCACTTAATCGAAAACACTCCCGTCCGATTTCATCAGACACTTGGGTAGGTCCTTGGCGACGACGTTGCAGGTGTCGTTGACGTCGTTGACGATGGGTGAAAACGGCACGTTCACGGTTGCTGATTGCACAAACTCCTGGACGACGATGGCGGTCTCCGCCGCCGTCGATGGTGGATTCGGAGGCGTCGGATGGGCGAGCCGGAGGGCTACGCGCTGCTGGAGAGCATGCCGACGCTGTACACTCAGATCCGAAACGAACCGGCTTTCACCTGCAACGAGACTTGAGTGAGTCCGGGGCTGCGGTGCGGACAAGTCGGGGCTGAATTATGAATGGGGTGTGAGGGCGAATTTGCACCAGGAAATACCGGAGCAGGAATTCCGGCAGCCGGTAATCTGCCGGCGGCGATGGAGTTTTTGATGGATTCGGGCTATTTGGAGGCTGTCTAGGTCGGGCGGGAATTAGAAATTTAAATTTGGGTGGACTAGGAGGGGTTTTGCACAAAAAAAAGTATTTAGCTAAAAACATGTGCCGTTTTTGAAAAAAATCAGTCAGTATAGAATCCTGTAAAATTTCGTCAGATTTTTTATAGAAAATTCTCGTCTTCTAATTCGTTTCCGTTATTATGGACGTAACGTCCTCACTCACAATCCAGTTTTAAAATGCAAGGGATAGTTATAACGGAGAACGAAGACAATCAACAATTCGAAACACGCTTCCTCTAGCAAACGAAATGAAGCTTATATCTATGTACGAGAGTCCGACTCACATCAATCCACTTAAAAAAACACCTCCAGATTCCCTGTGGAGTATCAAGGTAGAAACAATTCTGCAAGTTGGAAGAGTTTTGGGTACCGAACGAACAAAATTATAACAGAATTTGTAAATGTTGGTGAAGATGAGTAATTTTTGGTCGTTATTTTGGGTTTCAGTTGTTCGAAAATTCCAGCAATTTTTTCAAAATTGTCTTTCATGTGAGGCCAGAGCTGATTTGGAATTCCAAGAGGTTTTCCCTACCGCTCTATCCAGTAAAGTATTTTTGAGTTTTCAGATTTTTTTTGTAGCATTTTTAATTTATTATGACTCTTTCTTGTTAACTGAGTAAAGAATGTCGTGCTTTCACTCAAACAAAACGAATAAATATTTTGAATAATTTACACAAGTGAAACATTTAAACAGCCAAAGACAAAATAAAACTTAATTACTTACATCGCCCCATGCTCAGTAATTATAGGAATATCACTCGGGCCTCAGAAAGATAAACAGCGTTAACAAACATCATCGTTCAACAATTATCAGGAGAGCTGTTTTACGCGTAATGATTAAAGTGTTTTTAATAGAGATTACGTCAACAACACGTCCTTTTGTAGACTTTTTCAGAGTTTAAACTATTTGCTCTTCATTTTTTCAGAACAGTTCAAACAGAAATTCTGTGCAAATAACAAGAGCGCCGAGACTCGCATTTAATATGCAACGACGATTATTATTAACAGTATTTTAGTTCCGGCCGACCGAATGATGCTTTTCATCCGAATGGCGCTTTTACAATCCTCGAAACAACTTATTTTAAACATGTTTGTGCAAATTTCGCAGTTAATGAAAGCAAACTTAATGCATTTGGTAGTTGTCGGCTAGAAAATTCACTTTAGTACCGGTTTATAGTTTGCGTTAGAGTGCAGGAATTTGCATAAATGCTAATAAAACATGTACAACTAAACTAAATTAACAGTGCCCTGAGATGTTTTATGGCTTTCATAGAAATCGTGATAAATAGCTGACCCGATTTATGCACGGTTTCACAATAACAATTGGAATTTATGGTTGGGAAGTAAAGTGTTTAAGTCGATATTATGGAGCTTCTGCGATAGAATGAACATTGTAAATGTGGATGCTTCAGGACTGGCTATCCTGACGATCTGATGCACAAAATTTAGTTTAAAATGAACAAGAATTCGACGCACTTGATGAGTTTTTTTTTTTGTGTTGGTACTTCCGAAAATTGACAGTGTCCGATAGGACTGGTTATCGGTTCGAAACGGAACCCGGAATCACCGTTCCGGACGTATAGTTAAAGAAGGATTTCGTTTAAAATGGTGAAAAAATTGAACAACTGATGCCAGAAAAGAACTCAGCGGTACAAAATTAGTCGAGAAATTGGCCAAAAAAATAGAAATTTGAAACTGAGAGAAAGGACCAGTTTTCGATCAATTTTATCAAACTAAATGATTTTTACAAAAGCACGTTTTTGCCATTATTTGAAAAAAAACCGTGGAAATAGTCAGATTCGCTATTTCGCAAAAATTTCTCACCAGAACATCTTTATTTTTAAACCAATTTGATGATTCTTTGAAAAATTGATAAAAATGGTGGATGCGCCGGGAAAATAATTAAGTTTTAATGTGCCTTTTAGGAAACCAAATAGCTTATTTTGGAAAAAGTTCCATAGTTCTTTAAATATTTTAACGTCTGAATAAATTGGACTAACAAATAGAAATTTTGAATTGAGAGAAAGAACCCATTTTCGGGTAAATTTTATCAAACTAAATTATTTTCCCAAAACCACGTTTTTCACATTATTTGGAAAAATACCGAGGAAGTAGTCAAAGATTCGGAATTTTGCGAACATTTCTGACCAGAATATCGTTCCTTTAAGACAGAGTTAAAAAAATAATCAAAATTTTTAATTTTTTAATTTTTTGTTTTTTCAATTTTTCCTGTCTTCAGTTTTTCGGTTTTCAATTTTCTGTTTCGGTTGTTTATTTTTCTTTATTTATTCAAGTTTTGGCTTTTTCATGTTTTGATTTAATTTTTTTTTCAATCTGAAATTATTCAATTTTTGGATTTTTTAACTTATCGATTTGTAATTTTTCTAGCTTTCATTTTAAATATGTAATAATAATTTTTAAAATTTTCACTTTTTTTTAGTTTCGTTTCTTTATTTTCATAATTTTTTCAATTTTTCTTTTTCCAATATGAAATTTTTGAGTTTTTCAATTTTTTGATTTGCAATTTTACGTTTCGGTTTTTTATTTTCTTTATTTTATAGTTATTCGATTTTTCAATATTTCGATGTTATAATTTTTTGGTTTTGCAGTTTTAATTTTTTCAATTTTTCATTTCTTCAATTCTTCGATTTACAATTTTTGAATTTTTGAATTTTTATTTTTTTTTTGTTGTTTCAATTTTACGGTAAGGAAGTCATCAAGTTTTCATTTTTAAATTTTTCAGTTCTTCCAGCTTCACTTTTTAGTCTTTCCAATATTTCGATTTGCACTTTCACGAGTTTTTAATTTTAAATGTTTCAGTTTTTCGCTTTTTCAATTTTTCGTGTTTTCAATTTTTCGAATTGCAATTTGTCGTTTGGGTTTTTTTATTTTTTTTTTCAATTTTTTGGGTTTTCAATGTTCTGATTTTATCTTTTTTTTTCAGCGTGAAATTTTACAAATTTTGAATTTTTCAATTTTTTGATTTGCAATTTTTCGTTTCGGTTTTTTATTTTCTTTATTTTATAGTTATTCGATTTTTCAATATTTCGATGTTATAATTTTTTGGTTTTGCAGTTTTAATTTTTTCAATTTTTCATTTCTTCAGTTCTTCGATTTACAATTTGTCAATTTTTCAATTTTTATTTTTTTTTGTTTCAATTTTACGGTAAGGAAGTCTTCAAGTTTTCATTTTTAAATTTTTCAGTTTTTCAAGCTTCAGTTTTTAGTCTTTGCAATCTTTCGATTTGCACTTTCACGAGTTTTTAATTTTAAATGTTTCAGTTTTTCGCTTTTTCAATTTTTCGTGTTTTCAATTTTTCGAATTGCAATTTTTCGTTTGGGTGTTTTTATTTTTTTTTTTTCAATTTTTTGGGTTTTCAATGTTCTGATTTTATCTTTTTTTTTTCAGTCTGAAATTTTTTCTAGTTTTAATTTTAAATAGGTATATGATTATAACTTTTAAAATTTCTCTCTTTTTCGTACGATTTTAAAATTCTTCCATTTTTCAATTATTGGAATTTAGAACTTTTTCATTTATTCCATTTTTTATTACTTGTTATTTCATTTTTCAATTTTTCGATCATTCAAAGTGACAGTCATTCTGGACTCTACAATTTTGACGATTCTATAAATTTTCGATTTTGCAGAGTTTGGGTTTTCCAATTTTCCGCTTTCGCAATTTTTCTTTATCCAATTTTCCTACTCATTGTTTTTTTTTCGATTTTTTAGTGTTTCAATGTTGTAGATTTTAGTTTCTTCAATTTTTCGATTTTCCATTTTTTCAGTTTTCTGGTTTTTCAATTTTTCAATTTTTGATTTTACAACTTTTCAAATTAAAAAATGGAAAAATTGTAAAACTGAAAACTCAAAGATGGAAAAACGAAAAAATGTAAAATTGAAACTTTGAAAAATGTAAAAACTGGAAATAAAGAACTTGAAAAGTTTGGAGTTCTCGTTTCTTCAGTTTTTTGATTTGCAACTTCTCGATTTTCCACTTTTTCGATTATTCAGTTTTTCATTTTTTCCGATTTTTTAACTTTTCGAATCAAAAAAATGGAAACATGCAAAACTTAAAAGCTGAAAAGTCAAAAATGAAACAAGAGAAAGTATAAAATGAAAACTTCAAAAAATCTAAAAATTGGAAATCATGAAATTGTAAAATCGGATAATTGAGAAAACTGAGGAATTGCAAAATCAAACACTGAAAATTTGAACAATTCAATAAACAAAAAATATAAAATCGAAAAAAAAATGGAAAAACAAAGGAAAAGAAAAAATAAAATCGAAAAAAAAATGGAAAAACAAAGGAAAAGAAAAAATAAAAAATCGATAAAATGAAAATTTAAAAATCTGGAAAAAGAAAAGTAAAATTCAAGAACTTGAAAAATTGTGAAAACGAAAAATTGAAAACTCAAAGGATTAATAATGAAAAACTGAGGTATCGAAAAATGAAAAACTGTAATATCGAAAATTGCACAATTGAAAAATTGAAGAAATGAAAAACTGAAAAATTTGGAAGTCGAGAAATTGAAGAATTGAAAAAATTGAAATTGTCAAAAAACTAAAAATTGTGAAAACCTAAACCTGGAAAAATGTGAAAACTGAAAAATGAAAGAAAATGAAAAAACAAAAAATTGTAAAATCCAAGAAAAAACGTAATATTGTAAGATCGAAAACAGTTTGAAAATTAAAGAAATTGGAAAATTGAATAATTGAGAAATCGAAAAGTTGCGATATTGAAAAATTTAAAAATAGGAAATTTGAAGAATGGCAAAATCAAAGATTG